GGTCTGCTGTAATACTAGGCGTTCCACCCACACCACTGGTGACTTAGTGTTTTTCTTTACATTGCCCTCTTTTCCCCCCTGGTAGTTCTGAAAAGAAACTGTGTATCTACTGTAAATGGAAAATCAGTATTACTCTCTATAAATACAAAAAGTAAGGATCTTAAAAATAAAAACAATAGCTTCATTCAGTTCTGGCCAGATGCTGTTGCTCGTGGAAGGCTCTTGTGAGAAACAGACTCACCTGTCCAAAATCAAAGGATGAACACGGAGACGCGGGATACAGCAGAAGAGAGACAGTAATGGCGGTCTTGCAAGATCGGGTGTCTGGTAGGCAGGCACACCCAGAATGGTTACAACAAGCAGTGTATTCCCCTAGTGTGCAAGTCCCGCCCCCATTTCCTCATTGGCTGAGTACTCTGGGTTATACAATCTTCCCATACGTCACTTAAGTTCTATTATTCCGTTATAAGGCATTCATTGTCCCTTTCCCTCTTTTCCTGCCCATGAAAAGGACCCGCCAAATGTCCTGAGGAGTGAGAAGAACCAGAAAGTAAAAAGAACAATGAGCTGATGACCAGCCATCATTTTAAGAAGTTGGGGTGCTCCTGGGTTTTGTTTGTTAAGGGACTTGCCAGGAATGTGTACTTTCTTGGGTGGCCATATCTGCAAGCTTGTTAAGCAACTTTTGTTAAGCAGTTCTTGGAAAATGAATCACTTAGGCTATCCTTACCCTCTCGGACTGAGGCCTGCTTCTCCTTGGCTCGGTAGGAGATGGGCAAGGGCTATAAGGGGTTTAAGATATGCTGGGCCAAACTGAGCTCTCTTTGAGAGAGAACTGGGCAGGAATGACCATTCTTACTCCCCTATTGCCCATCTGGGTGCCCCCTAAAACAATCACAGCGTTAACCCAGGCTTGGTGGGAGATGAATCTGGAGACTTGGGATCCATGTAACAGTCTGTGGACTCTGGGCAAGTTCCTTGATGTTTCCATCTACAAAATGGCTTTGGTGGCTGTCCTGCCCAGAGAAGGCTCTCTGATATCAGCCCTCCTGTCCTGCAGCTGGGGAGGTTAGGCTCTTACTGCACCTGTGCACAGCCAGGCTGTCCCCGCCACCTACAGCAGGTCCAGAGACCAGCAGACTAGGCCACAGCCTCCTGGGCAGCCCAGCCCTCCTCCAGCACCACTTCCCTGGTGAGGGCAGACCGAGCTTCCCCTGGCCAGGCCCAGGAGCAGAGGCCACTTTCTTTTTGTTCTCTGCTGTTCTGCCACGGTAGAGGCTGGAACCTCGTAGAGGCTGGAACCTAGTAGCACTCAGGGGAGGCTTAATGATTGACAGCGACTCGGAAGGTTCCCAACTTGCTCAAGGACACACAGCAGCTAAATGGTGCACCTGGGACTCAAACGCAGGTCTCACTGACCTGCTGGAAGACTGGTTCCTGGAAGTCTCTGGCTGGCACCCCAGCCCCCTCTTTCTGACCCAGCTTCACTCTTGGTCCACGTGGGCCTCACTTTGCCAGGCTGGGTTCGAATCACTGCGCGCTCTCACGCCTCTGAGCCTTGACTTGAGTTGTTCCCTGGGCCTGGAATGGCCTTTCTCTCCCGCTTCTGTGGCCAGACCTTGGTGAAAGCTTCCCTGCATTCCTCTTGCCGGAGCCTCTGAAATGACACTTGCGCCATTCTGCTATTCTGTCTTGTGTCTGTTCGTCACACTAGATTAAAGTTCCTTGGAGTAGGAATCCTGAATTGTTTTTGCCCCCACCCCCAAACCTGGCAGGTATCTGGACGTATCATCGATGAAGCCCAGATGTAGATCACCTGGCATTGATCGTCCTTGGGGCTCAACGTGTTAAAGAATGCAGAATGCTGTTCTGTGTGATGGTGTCTCATTTGATCCCCACGGAAGCCCAGTGGCTGTGGCGCATTGTCTTCTTCCAGACAAGGACCCTGCAGACCAGAGGGGGCATGTGGCCTGCCCAAGGTCTCAGCTTAGACCGGCAGTGAGAACTAAGGCCGTGTCTCCAACAGGAGCTGGAGGAGGGCTCGGCTGCAGTGCAAGGCGCCAGGGCTGCAGCTCCAACCGTGGGGTTGTGGGCACCAGCTGGCACCCAGCACTCAGGAGGGGGAGCTAGGCCCAGGCTAGTGGATGGGGTGGCCCCAGTCCTCAGCACACCTAGGAAAGCGGGTGCCCTTGGGGTCCCTGTGGGAGTCGCTGCCATTCCTTGAGCTCACTGCTCCCATCCCTGAAGAAATTTCTCCCGCGCTCACCTTTGCTGGTTTATTCAACAGTTATGAATCCCCTGCCCCTCAACGCTGGGCCCTGGGAATACAGGGACAAGGTGGCAGGCCCTGGGAATACAGGCACAAGGTGGGCAGGGGAGGCGGACAGACCATGTGCAGTTGGGGTACGGCGTAATGGGCACTGCCCCAGAGGCTTCAGGCTGGCAGAGGTGGAGGTTGAATGGTGAAGGAATGGTGTGTGTACAGACCCGGAACTGCCAGCTGCAGGGAGTGCAGGGATCTCCAAATCCTGGAGCTTGGGCCCAGGTGGAGAAGGGCATGGGTGAAACTGGCAAAGAGAGGGAAGCAGGCAGGCTGGCAGGGCAGCTGGGGGGGGCTTGGACTGTACTGAACCTCCCCCAGGGGTTGTGTCTGGCCCAAACAGTATAGACAGGAAGTGGTTTGGCCCGAAACTTGGGTCCAGAAAGGCAAGGATGGGGGCTTGGAAAGCTGCTTTCCATCCCCTTTTTTATCTGTGGTTTTGATGCCTATGCGTGGAGCTGCTGGGAGAGAGCTGTGACCCATGGGTGTCAGCCCAGTGGACACAGTGGCGGTGACCTTGGGGCAGATGGAGGGTGCAGGGGGGCAGTCTGTGCAAAGGCCAGGCACTGGAAGAGTCTGGCATAAGTAGGCCAGGGTCAGCCTGATGGCAGAGGTGAGGCTGGAGGGATGGCTCAGGGCGTCAGACCCTTGCCAGCCAGGCCTGGCCCCTGCCCTCCTGGGCCCTGGTCTAGCCAGGCTTTCCCTTGTCAGCCTCCAGCTCCCCTCCCAGCAGCATACACCCCCCTTCTCCCCTGTGTGTCCTAGAGAGCAGCCAGACCCTCTTTCTCTGCCAGCCTGGCTGTGTGATCTGAGCTGCCTTGCTCCCCTGTCTGGGCCCTCTGGGCCCTGAAACACTGGAATTGCAAGAGCTGATTTCTGGACTGCTTTCAGCTCCTCTGATCTAATTCTTGCAGCTTAAATTGCTTCCTGAGCTGACCCTGCCGGAAACCCGTGGTGCTAATGACTCTCCTTGGTGACTGCTGGAGCCCTGGAGCTGGCTCTGCAGGCTCCTCCCCTTCCCTCAGGCCTCTGAGACCAGAGGATGGGTGAGAGGGGGCAGGGCTGTCAGCCTCTGGGACAGAGGGGCAGCAAGAGGCGTTAAGTGGTTGGCCTGAGGTCACAGCAGGCCCAATGTGAATGTGGGGGTAGAGCAAGGGCCAAGCCCGCTCTCAGAGCTCTCAGAACCCTTGGCAGGCGGGGACAAGGCGCCCTCCCTACTGTCCATCGGTGTCTGCACACTGCTCGTTCCTGTCCTGTCTCTCTCCTCCGTTCTCTTTCCCTCCCTCAGCGGGCATGTGGGGAGCCCTTGGACCAGAGTGGCAAGGTCCTAAGGCCATGGTGGAGGAACCAAAGGTGGTGGACCCGGGCCCCAGTTTGGGCTCCAGGTTTCCATGGGAACTTGGACATGTCCCTTTACCTCCTGAGCTACGGTTCTCTTTTCTGAAAGATGACAGCAGCGTGCCCACTCAGCACTGTGAGATAATAGTGCACACAGGCCTCTGGCCAGGGGACTTGTCATGGAGGTGCCAGGAAAATGGAACCTGTCTTGGGGATGAGCTGGCTTGGCCCCTCCTCCCTCGCTCCCCTTCCCTCTGGCCTGCCTGGCAGCCTCCTCGGCCTTTGGTTAATACAATGGCAGCTTCCAGGTGCAGCATTCCTATCACAGAGGTCCATGACCTGTTTAAGGTCACCAGCCAGTGAGTGGTGCTACTGGGGTTGATATCCACATCAGTCTTGCTCTCACACGTCATTTCATTAGCCAGTCTCCCTTGCCTCAGTTTCTCTCAGGGTTGGGCTGGGAAAATGGCCTGTATCCCAGTGGGATTTCAGTGTTGCCTTAGCAGGCTCTGGGATGAGTAGATTGAGGGGTGTGATACCCCACTGCAGTCTGGATGGAATCTGAGGGATGGAGTGGCATAGATGGGGGGGTTGTTCAGGTGTGTGTCTGTCTTGGCCCTCCCCATGTTTCAGCCCCCACTGACCGCAGTCCCCCCTCCCCGTTAACCCTCCCTTCCCCTTCCATATGCCTTTCCTGCCCATGTTGGTCCAGTCCGTGTCCCTTGCACTAGGTCAGCAAGTGTCAGGGTGCTTTGCCTGACCCTGGGGAATGGAGGAAGGGCTGAGGAAGGGCTGTGGTGTGGGAGGCAGGGCTGGAGGGAGGGCCAGAGGACAAGTGTGTGACTGAAGGGGTTCTTGGGGCAAGGTTTCCCACACAGACCAGGAACGGACCACTCCCTAGAGGGGAGGGGGACACTGGAGACCAGGCTGCTGGCTTCCTGTGGGTGCAGAACCAGCCAGGGAGCTGCTGGGGCTGGCTGCTCTGATTCAGTACAGGGAGGTCTAGGGAAGCCTGGTCAAACAAAGGAAGGGAGGGAGGCAGGTACGGCCTACCCAGCCCTGAGCTGTGTGTGCTGGGGCCTCTGGGTCACCTCTAAGCATCAGAAACACAAAGAACCCAGGCTGCAGAGTCAGGAAGTCATTCCCTGTCCCCACTCTACCACACATCAGCTGTGTGACCTTGGACAGGCCTCTACCCCTCTCTGAGCCTCTTCTCCTTTCCTGTATGATGGGGACGATGGTGTCTGCTTCACAGGGTTGCACGGGGAGGAGCACGTGGGACGAATGCATGACGGGGACCTCAGGTGCTCAGTGAGTGACGGTCTTCTGCCTTCCTGTCCAGGCATTCCCCTGCCCCTCCCTGGGGCAGTGAGCACCATGTTCTCATGCGTGAAGCCCTACGAGGACCAGAACTACTCGACCCTGAAGCGGGCCTGTCTGCGCAGGAAGGTGCTCTTCGAGGACCCTCACTTCCCCGCCACCGATGACTCGCTCTACTACAAGGGCACCCCGGGGCCCGCTGTCAGGTGGAAGCGGCCCAAGGTCAGTGTCTGGTCCCAGCAGGAGCTGGGATGAGAAGGCCCAGACTCACCCACAAGGCTGGGTCTGTGGGGATGTCGGGGTGGCCGGAGGAGGCATCCCTAGCCCTGGGCTGCTGAGAAAGTGGAGGGGCCGAGACCCTGGGATTTGATCTGGATGGGCAGCCTGGAGAACAGGCTCCAATCCTGGGGCTAACTTGGCCCAGCCAGACCCTCAGCCCTCTCAGGGGCTTAACTTCCTGACAGGGAAAATGGGGCAGTAGCCTGGCAGGGTCACCCTCTCAGGGTCATTTTTGGGATAAAAATGAGGTGATGTATAAACCTTTTATTAGTAAAATGTAGAGTGGTGTCCAAATGTAAGGAATTTCCTGATTTAGTGATTTTGAAATAGACATTTGCGGTGTAAATGAAAAGTATTTACTATGATGATTAATCAATAATAGTAGAAAAAATAATAGTAACTGCAGGGTGTGGTGGTGCATATCTGTAATCCCAGTTACTCAGGAGTCTGAGGTGGGAGAATTGCTTGAGACCATGAATTCAAGGCCAGCCTGGGCAAAACAGTAAGACCCCATTTCTAATTAAAAAAAAAAAAGTCCTCCCCCACCATAGGGTTGTGAGGATTCGAAGAGGTAATTCACGAAAAAGACTGAAATAAAACCGGTGCTCAAAAAACAAAAAAAAAGAAGAAGAAGAAGAATAAGCCGGGCTAAGTGGCTCAGCCTGTAATCCCATGCTTTGAGAGGCTGAGGTGAGTGAATTGCCTGAGCCTGCGGGTTCGAGACCCGCCTGGGCAACTTGGTGAGACCTCATCTCCACAATAAATCAAAAATTAGCCGGGCGTGGTAGCACGCACCTGTAGTTCCAGCTACTTGGAAGGCTGAGGCG